AAAAGAAAGCTGTTATTAAAAAAAAAAAAAAAAAAAAAAAAAAAAAAAAAATCAGTTATTTGAATTATATGTTCATTATAATGTTAAACTCCTTGAAAAATGGGCATTTCCATAGAACTTTCTACAGTTTAATTGTATCGTACATCAGAAACCAAGGGGTCATCTCCAGTTACCTCATAACCTCCTGGAAACAAGAAAATGCAGATCACTCTTTTTGTAGTTCTGAGTTTCAGGGTATGACATTCCTTAATCTATCTCTGTGACCTGGTGGCAGTGGAAAAGCGTTAAGTGCTCAATAGATGGGCAGTAGATGATGATATTATTTAGGTCTTACCAAGAAAGGAATGCCCAGATAAATTTATAACAAATCTTTGAGGCTATGACATTTCAGGGTAAAAGGCAATGAGGCAGAGAATTTAAATTAATTGCTTGTAATAATAATAGAAAATAGCTCTGTGTACTTAGGTTAAAATCTAAGTATTAATTAGATACAAGTGCCCATCGCAATTACTGTCCGATATGGAATCAATTTATGTGCTCTTCACAAAATCAAAATGCTCCTTTTCTAAAATCAGACCTAGAATATGCTTTACAGTGTGTGGTAAAATATTGTACATTTGGTGAGATATACTCGTGTTCATTCAGGTCAAAATATACAGAAGTTTAGACAAGATATTCTTTGATTTGATTTCTCAAGTATTACATAGACTCAGAATAAATAAATACAAATTTCATCACTACCATTTCTTTTATTTATTTTCAGAACAGTTCTCTTAGTTTCCCTTTAAAGAACAAAACAACAAAAAAAAGGGTTTCATAATCTTATCTACAAGATAATGCCTGGAATGCACTGAGTCTGGTTATAAAGTGAGAGACTGCTGATTATCAAAGGATGTCTTTCTGAGAAGTAAAACAGCCATGGTCTAGTACAGAGGAACAAGAGGAGTACTTGGATCTGCTCGACTTATGTCTCTTCCTGAATTTTAGGTTACAGACTGCAAGATGCATCTTCCAATACATATTCCAAATTTATTTAACATGGAGGAGGGATTCAGATCATACTATGTAAATGACTGCCCTCCTTTTCTGTAGTAGGAAGATAAATGACAAGTGAAGTAAATGTAGTGCCTGAGTCCCTGATTTCAAATGCTGATGAGTGTTATAGTCCCTTTTTTTTGGTTTTGTTATTTTTTTGTTTTCATTCATCATTATACCATATCCAAAAGAGGTTTATTGTTTTGGGGTCTCACTTATCAATTGCCCAACTAAGCATGCAATAGTAGCTCTATACTGGTGCTAGTAATTTAGCATCTACATCATTGGCAATATTGATGCATCACTTCTGCTTTCACCTGTTTTGTTCTTACATTTATTGTTTATTCATCAAGGAAAGCATCCATATTCATCTTCATAAACAATTTTCATATTCTATACTAAATTCTGAATGTATCAAATGTTGTTTTGAATCACTTGGATATTACTTAAAATATTTAGAATAGATACATAAGTAAAGAGGCAACTTTTCAAGTAGTATCTATCAAACGAGACAAAGGCAAAATCAAAATTCACTGACTATTGCAGTTATTCTGCATTGTAAATATGTCAAACATATTCTAACATTTTGGAATCTTACCAGAATCAGCTGATTCTTGGAGTAATGGGGGTTGATGTCTCTTTGGAAGACATAAAAAAACTGACACCCCGATTTACGGTAAGTTGCTTGTGTTGGTGTTTTCTCTTTAGGCATGATTTCTGTGCATGCTCTTTCATAAGTCATACAGCAGTGACTGGATGCAAGTCAAAATACAGCAGGCTTCTTTTCATACATTCTTTTCCATTGTTGTAGATTTTCTGATGGTTTTCTCTCCAGTCATATATGTGTTTCGGTGTGAATTATCCACCAGGATGCATCTGTAAAAGCCAACTTTTACATTGGGGGATATATTCTAAGTAATTTTTTTCCTGTAGCTTAAAGAACTACTCTTTAGTTGAGCGTTTGGTTCTTATCACAGTGCAGAGTACACAATCATTACAGCTAATAAAAATACTTAGCATTTATATAAGACAATTCTTTATAGAAAAGTTCTTTAATATACATACCTGTCTGTACCCTACTCAGTATGATTGATTTATATGTTTAGACATCTAACTGGGGAGTTTCTAAGAAAATAACTAGTACTGTGGAAAACAACAGCTGAAGAAGCAAAGGAACATCAGGAATTTGACTGAAAGCAAATGCAGAGTCCTGCATCTAGAATGGAATAATCCCACGCCACAGGACAGGCTGGGACAGACTGCCTCAAAAGGCAGGAAAGGGCCTGGGGGTCATGGTGGAGGACAAGCTGAACGTTAAGTTGTTAGCAGTGTGCCCTTGCAGTAAGGAAGACCAACTCTGCAGTGACCAGCTTCATCAGGAGCACTGTATCCAGGTTTGATGTTCCTCAGTATAGGAAACAGGCTGAGACGCTGGGCAGAGTCCAGTGCAGAGCCACTAAGTTGGCCAAGGGGCTGGAGTACGCAGTGTACAAGGAGAAGCTGAGAAAGATGGGTTTGTTCAGACTGAAGAAGGAACCTAATGGGTTACCTAATGGGAGGTATAGAGAAGATGGACCTCGACATTTCTTGAAGGTTTATGTCAAAAGACAAAGAGGCAATCAACATAGTTGTGGCAATGGCAATTCCAACTGGAAATAAGGAAAAAAAAGTAATTGTGAGGATGGTTAAACACTGGAGGATGTTGCCCAGAGAGGTTGTGGAATCACCATTGGAGGTGTTCAAAGACACTTTGAAACCTAGTCCAACTTCAAAGGTGGATCTTATTTTGAAGTTAGCTCAGTTTTCAGTGAAGGGTTGTACCAGGTGACCTCCAGAGGTCCCATCAGCCTAAATTATTCTCCAAGTTTATGATTCTAGAAGAGTAAATATTAAGAAATTATCTTCTCTATGTTAATATCGCACGTATTTCATGATGCCTGAGGCAATGTATTTTCCTCAGTGTGACCATTCCTTGAAAACCATTAATTAATCTTTATTACTTAAAACTTCACAATGCTAAACTGCATTTCTTTCTTTCAGCTTTGTCCGAATGGATACTATTTTGCAATTGATCCTAATGGGTATGTGCTACTCCATCCAAATCTCCAACCAAAGGTATGAAAAACCTTCTAATTTATTTCCTCTATAATAAGGCAACATTGTCAGAAATAACGGAAACTAATATCTGCTGAAAGTGCCAGAGAGCAATAGTATAGAATTCTCAGATTTGAGGGTGTCAAGAACATCCATGGTGCATGTGTGCCTTCATGCAAATCCACTTTAGTCAGCACAAAGACCAAGATTGGCTTGTATTGAATTTGGTTATCAATAAATAAAAAGATACCTATTTTACATGCACATTTATATATGTGAAATAAGTATTTTAATATACATATTAATATAAAAACCAACTAGAGGTAGCTGTAGTATCATTGTGAAGAATTTGCAGTGTGTTACAAGATGCTCTTGAAGCAAACTGAGGAGTTAACTAGTGCAAATGCTTATTTTGTCATGCTTTCTCATTTCAGAAATTGAAACTTTCATGCTTGCAAAACCACAGAAATCAGGGGCAAACACAATGTATTTTACTTGTATTTTCATATTTGTTTATTTGCTTATTTTCTGTTTACCAGAGCTGAAACCTGAGCTGCAGAGCTGGGATGGATCTAGCCAAGCCCTTCTTCCCAGAATGCTAGTTTTTTTAGTAGTTCAACTTGAGAAAGATCTTTCATCTTTAAAGACAAAATCTTTATCTAAATATGATTAGGACCCAACTTTCAGGAAAATTTAAACCCAAGATTTCAGTCTGTCTGTATATCCATTAACTGTGGTCCTAACCCTGTGGGGACTCCTACATTACATGTATCTTCTTAAATAACTTGCCTCCTTGGCTTTGATGAGATTTCAACATGAATGGATGATTTTTTTTCTGAAATCAGAACTTTAATATTTGTTTCAGCAAAAGGTTTCTTCATGTCAAACAATCTTCTGGTTAGTGAAATATTTGAAAATGCTTGTACTTTAATTTCATTAGAAACATACTTTCAGCAAATTTTGTCTCTTGAGTTCATAGTGCACAAATGCAGCATTATATAAAAGACAAATTTAAAATTTGATTAACTAAAAATAATTTTTAAAATCACTCCAAATTGAGAGTAATGTATGGATTATTTACAGATAAAAAGTTAGAAATAATAATGAATCACTCTAAGTATTGAAGACCAAACAATATATCCATGTAGTTCAGTTGTCAATATTAAATTTCTCCTTAAGATGATTTGAGCAATATATGGCCAAGATAAATGCAAGCCTTCAATATACAGGCACATAAGGCTAGTAAGGCTTTTAAACTTTAGTGGCGCCCTCCTCCTAAGTTATTTTTCAGCACTTAGTACACTTTAGGGAAACTTCTTAAGTAATGGAAGCCTGTATCTGCTGCCTTTAGGCATGGAAGTACTGTGTTTTTGTAAATTGGATGCATATCCATCACTTCATTCCTCCTAGTCATGTTCCTGTGGCAGAATAGCAGCAAGTCCTTGACCTCTTGGCTGTGCCACTGTCCTCTCTTGTTTCTTCACCAGGAAGTCCTATCATATCTCCAAGAGGGATAGTAGACCCCCTTTTCACTACTTCACCATCTTTAATGTCAAAGGCAGAAAAAAAGATGAAGAATTCATCTACATATTTTAATGATTCATTTAATTCTTAGGCTGGGGGAAATCAGCATTGTGAATATTTGAATTAATTTCTTGGTGAAGTAATAAATATGTTTGAAATCTTTTGCTAAGTGTGTAATGTAAGAAGAAAGAAAAAAAATGTTTCTGAAGAAGAGAAAGAATAACATGATCTTAACTATTGATGAAATTTCCCTTTTGATTTATTTGAAAGGACCCTTTTAAAAATAAAAGGGAAAAAAAAAAAGGAGAAGAAAGTTTTATATAGTCCTCATAATTTGGGAGGACTTCAGTTTCTGGATATATGCATTAGGTTTTCATGTGTTAAAAAATGAAAGTTTTCATTTGATGATTTTGCTTGGTGAATTATTCTGAGACAAATATATGCATCATTACTGACTGAACCTTTTCTTCATTAGAGATTTTAGAAATTCAGATGATGACGAGTGGTCTATTTACCTTTTTCTTATATGCAAATGAAACAATCTTTTTGTTAACAGAAGGAATATAAAATGAAGCGATGTAGTATTCTCATTTTAGGCACAATCTTGTGAGGAACTGATGGATATGAATTCTGTTTGTCTCATGTGTGCTATTATACTGCACTGTAAACTCCTAACACTGGAGAATAAAGAACTTTTCTTAGAGAGTGAAAAACTCAGTTCATCCCAACTAAATGTAGGCAGACTTATATGAGTCATTAAGACACTAATTGTCATGGTTTCTCTGTGTAGTTTTCTACTTAAAACGATATGGAAGTCCAGAGATATTTTCACATACTGCTCCAATGTTTAATTTAGAGTACGTTTTAAAAAGGGTATTTTATAAGTGATATGTTTTATGTTGTAGAATAATGTCTAATATTAAATATAATATTAAGCATATGCATTATTATTATTGTTATTGTTGTTATTAACAGTTACACAGACTAGACTTTTTCACTCCCAGTTTGTTTGGGGTGGTGCATGCTATTCAGACTGATACAAGAACTACGTTTTAAAACTAAGGTACACTACAAAGACAGATGTATTTAGAACTTACGGATTTTATTTAACTTGTCATATTAATTTTAGCTGAACCTCCTGGTAGCTGTTAACTTATTAACAAACAACATCTTAACCCTCTTTGCCAGCAATTTTTCAATAGATGTAAACTAAAACATAACTACGTCTTTACCTTTGAAGAGGTAAGGGTGTATGAAACTTCCAGTGGTGCCTTCTTCTGAACATCCTTTGTTTTCCTTCTGAAAATCTTTTACCTCAAATCACAACTGGTTCAACATAACATTTTGAGAAATTGTCTTGCAGTATCATCTCACAAAAAGAAGCCCCTAGAAATTTAGAAGTTGTAAAGTAATTTGCACACTGAGAAAATTTAACAAAAGGCAGGTTCAAAAGCCATTAAAATCATTAAGACTTTTCCCATCATGTTCTTATTTGCACATGAAAGCTATGCCAAAGCATAAGACAGGAAACCTTTTTTTAACTTTCCGTTTAATATAGTTTTAAACTGCTTAAAATACCATTTTTCAAGTTTAAGTAGTTAGTTATACTACATTTTTAAACAAATGCTTAATTTTATGTTTTACTGCCAATTTTATTTGTGTATCTGTACGTATGTGCGTGTATTTTTCTCATTGTCCTGGAAAAGAGCAGGTGACTACTCCACCAAATAAACATAGTCACTGAAGTGAGTGCATTACGCATGTGCTAACAAGATTAGTCTTAATTAGATAAGATTTGAAAACAGGTAATAATTCAATTTCTGAATCTATTTTAAAGATTAGCATCCTTTTCTTCACTTTCATTATGGTTCTGATCAAAATCCATTTAATGGTAGTCCTAAAACTCCATGTGCGTTCAATAGGATCCAGTATTTTGCCTTAAAGTTTATGGTTTTGAAAGAAATGTAAGAGGAGGTGGTTTTAAGAGCAGATATAACAGTAGACAGAAAGTGAAACTCTTCTCATTCTATATTTTAATTCTGGCAGAGTATGTGGGAGGGAGAGCTCTCTGTTAACTTAATTCACATCCTTTAACATATGTCTGTTTTTTTGTTTCCCTAGACAAAACCTGTATGTCATTCTGACAAAGAGCTCAGAACTCTTGATCAGAATGAGGGCTAGTCTGTGCTTCCAGTAAATGTGCACTGGAGAGTATAGATGTTGAGGGAAGACTTCCATTCTATAAGTAGGCTGTTTACTAATAGTGTAAAAATATAAATTACTGCTTTTTTGTTACTTCAGCAAATTGGTGTGGGCATACCAAAAGTTAAATTGAGGAAAAGGAGACCCAATGTACAGGTAACTTTGGATGGAGGTGATTAGTGTATTAGAATGCATAGACCTGGAAATACAATTAGAAAGCTTCTGCCCTGCTTACTCGGAAAAATCTAACTAGAGAACTGTTTACTTTGACAAACAGCTTCCAAAGCATGAAGCTTGCATCCTTCCTTGTTTAAATAATAGAAAACATCTTATTGTCTGTAGTGAAGGGCATTCTATTAAATTATGGTGCTTTACTAATAGGTGCTAATTAGAACCGTGCTGTAAAAATTAGTCTTCAGATTTTGAAATTAATTTGAAGACTGGAAAAAAAAAGAGACTACTTGTGCTGGCTTTGCTTGCATAAACCCAAAGTCAAGAGAAGATCATTGTTACGACTTTATTGCCAAGTTTTATTGTGCAATATATGCTGTATAACGTAACAGAATTTGAATAAGATGTTCAATTTTTTTCTGGGGAAGTCAGAGTAGGGCATATGTTTACATCAGATTTCTCAGTTTAGCAGACTGAACTCCAGAGGATTATCGGCCCTTAAGCTGAACAGGGAAACATTTGAGCAGAAAACACTTAATGAAAACTTAAAAATCATGAGAGGAATAGTTTCACTATGTAAGTAGCAAAGTAACAAAATTAGGTAATATCCCATGTTACTCTCTTGCACGTATGGGAATATATAATGCAAAACTGGTGGCTTGCGTAACACCACCAGTTAAACATGGTATAAAATCCTGATCTAATTTAAGTCAGTGATCTCACCAAGTGTCAAATGGCTGAGTTTCTACAACATGTAGAAGACCACCTCTGGGCTACATTTTTTGTTTGTGCACTGGAGAAAGTAGCACAGAAACATGAAAAAATCTCAATTTTCTGAGCATCCTTGACTCCTCAGCATGCTGTGGTATGGTTTGGCTGTTGCTGGGTTTGCCTGGCTATGCAGGCTGCCCAGGGAGGTGCAGCTCTGGAAACACTCTGGGCTCCCATCCACTCCAGATGCTCCTGGGTCTCCTTCTGGAGCCCAGGATTTTACTGCCTTCTTACCTTCATTTATTTTAAAAGCCTAACAGCCTATGTCTTCATTAGTAGTGCAGGTATGAGTAGGAACTAGGCTCCTGCAACTCAGCAAAGACCTTCTGTAGAATTTGTGAGAATACTGACCTCCCAAAATATGATGATAATGACATTTTAATGATTTTTTTTATGTTGCTGCACCAGTTCTTTCTTTCTTTGTTTCCTTCTTGATTTGTCATTGAAATAATAGATCTGTACCTTTATTTGTCATGCTGAAAATGGATTGCATTCCCTTTATTTGCATGCTTCATTGCTAGTGATTTACTTCTGTTTTGTTTTATTAAGTTGTGCTGGTGAATGTGGTGGTGTTGCACTTAATCTAGTCATGTCACGTGCATGACTGGATAAAGAGAAGAGCAAACTGAACAGTAAGTTTGTTTCTTCCTGGCTTGGAATAAACCCCACTAAATGGCAACCTTGGAACTAAAAATTATGGAGCCCAAATACTGGTAAAAACACATTCTTAGGGGGGAAAAAATATAGCAGGGAAAATAGTCTTAGTTTAAATAGTCCGTTTAAAGTATGGGGCTAGGAATTTTCGATTCTAATTTCTAGTGGATTTCTTTGTGCTTCAAGCACATCACAATGTATCTATACATGCTTAGTTTTTTCATCTATTAAAAGTCATTAGTAAATATCTTATAAAGAATGTGTGGTGATATAATGTAAGTCTTAAAAAGAACAAGAACAGTTAATGTATACTTGAATTTTGACACACCGTTAAAGTTGACTATTTTGTCTTTGGGACTCCTTAACTGTGGCTAGCCCAGGTTATTGTTTGAAATGAATATTGACCTTGATTTGATGTGATGGCTTTTTTTTTCTTTTTTTTACCATTTCTTTTCTTCTCTGTTCCTTTGTTTATTGGAATGGAATGTGAACTTCATAAATGCCTCCTCTGCCATGCCAATGCCTTCATGCATGCTGTTTGGGTTTGACCATGCTATTCATTATCCATTGCATGTAAGAAAATATATTTTTTTATTCATTTATTCATTTTTACCTTTTAGCCTTTTGCTGTTTATTTCCAGAATGTGGATTTGTTGGGTGGGGAAAAGCAACAGCATAACAATAATTAATTTGTTTTGGATTAGAAGAGAGCATATGTTAATGCTATTATATTAAAGTTGCTAGTTTTATTTATTCTATATAAATAGGAACATAAAAATTTCTTTGAAGTTATCAGTTGACATTTAAAAGAAATATCCGGAATCTTTGTCTGCAGTCTTTCCAGTGTGTATTCTCTTTCTGAGAATAAATTTATTGGCTTTTCTCTTAGCAGACAGTAACTCTTACTTGCTAAGAACAGGAATGATTCCATTTACCCAGAAACATGTAAATTTGTTCCTTAAGAATATGAAGGAATAATCTTTTTTCTCCTAACACTATTCTATATTACAGTCTTGGAAATAAGGGTTACTGTTAAGCTCTTAATGCAAGTCATGTAATTTTGCCAGAGAATGTTAGGATAGAAGGAATATAATCATCATTTTGAAAGAAGGGACTTTAGTCTACCCTGTAAATAAGTTAGTATAGCTGAATTTCTGAAATCCCCTAAAAATGTCATTATCAGAAATTACACTAGTCTTGAAATAACAGTATCAGGTAATGACAATTTTTGTGTTGCTAAATCGTATGAGAAACAGTGCTCAGTTACAGAGAAAACTAGGCCTTGAGATCCTTTCGTGTATGAATTTTCCTATTACACAAAGCAAATTATTATCAATGAAAAAAAAAAAGGACATTTTTCATCTTCTATTCTAAACTATCAAATTTAAATGGTTAAATAATATATCCCCATACTGTTTTTTCTAAAGATCCTTCATTAAATAGGTGCATTAAATAACTACTGAGTGATGAAGACTGAGGATTTTTACACCATACATAATATAAAGTCAATGGGGTTTAGCCAAAATTACTCAAAAAAAGTTGGATTCCTAACAGCTCATATGGAAGATGTCTCTGTCCAAGGAAATGCAAACTGCAACTGAGAAAGAACCAGAGGCTGGAGAGTGGCCTGAGCTAGTTCAGCAGAGCCACAATGGTCTTCTCACACTCCTGTGGGACCAGGGTTACTACAGATGCAGACCGCCAAACTTCTCTGTGCTCCATAGTCGAGGATTGCCATCATGTACATTCCTTAGGTCTTGAAGCTGCTGGATCGCAGTATTTCTGTGCTACAGGTTGCCATCTTTTAAATTGAGATAGCAGTACTGATGTCAAGAGAAATGCATTCAAAACAAACAAATCATTTGCTATAATTACTACCTCTTTGAATCTTGAACCGCAGTCCATTCCCGCCTCCTAACAGCAAGTCTTGCCGAAGAAGCTGGAAAACTCTCCCAAATTTCTCTCTCCCTTCTTGGAGGCTGGACACCTAATGAGAGATTCATATCTGATGCTTCCTCTGATGTATCTTCTCCCACTCTTACAGTCTGTGACATACCAGCAGTAGAGGAAGCAGCTTCCCAGCATGAGCCCCGTACATGACAGACTGTGGACAGACACTGGCCATTAGTGTTAATTTGATTTTCACTTACCCAATTAATGTCTCTATCCAATGAAGTAAAATAACTGAAAAAGGGCCACTAGCAATTCATGATACTGTAAGAGATTAAAATAGATGGGTAAGTAAGCCCAGTTAAGTAGTTTACTTTGAAATGAAGGGATTAGAATGATTTGTAACATTACGGTACTCTCTCTTTATTATTTGATCATTCAATATCTTCTGCTTCAGAATCCTAAATCCCAGGAGCCTGTTACGCTGGATTTTCTAGATGCTGAATTGGAAAATGATATTAAAGTTGAGGTGAGATTACCTGGTTTCTTAATACCTGTTGCTGCTTGTATTTCACTATGTAATAACGGAAAAGCAATAAATGTTCAATATTTTGAATGGGAATTTATGTCACTATAAATTTCATTTTTAAATTTGTCAAGATGATGACTTTATAGAGAGATAAAATTATAATGAAACAAATTGAAACCTGGTATTATTTGTAGGCAAGGGCAATGCATTATATTCTTCTCATTTGGAAAGACACCATGATTGCTATTTAAATAATTCTTCTTCATTAAGTGGCAATTCCTGGGGAGGGGGCTTGTAAAATTTTTCAGAACAGAACACTTTTTCATGGGATAATAATATATTACCTGAAATATTTTAAAAGTATTTCCCTGTCTCTTACTAACGCAAGCTTATTGCTGTGATGAGAGAACTGAGAAATAAAGTTACGTGTTGACAACAAATTAATTCCTCTATATGTTTTTCAGTTACTAATTTTGTAATACATTCAGAAATCAGAATTTTTGAAAACAGTTTGTTAGTTTTGTAAAATTAAATGGAGGTTTTTTAAACATTTTACTTTTTTTAACATATTTTTTCACTTTGAAATTGTTCTTTCATAATGACACTAACCAGCATTTCTTGATATCTGTTAAATTCTGCCTTAAGTTTCTTTGAATCACCTGCTTCAGAGAGGAATTACTCTTGGACTAGTATAAAAATGTTTTTGTGAATCACTGCTGCTACCAGAATCACACAGATGTGCTGGGAAGCAGGAGAAATGCTGGACAAAACTCCTCCTCATCCACACAGAATTCATACTCTCTCTAGTGCCCAGCATCAGGGGTTTTATGGGATGGTCTTACTATGCAAAGTATACCAGGATTGTTGTTTCATAACTCTGCTGATTCCATATATATTTGGATAAAGCAACTTCTGATTAGAAAAATCTGAAAATTGTAAACTTAACTTTTTTTTTTTTTTAAGAGCTATGACTTTCATATACATTACCACTTTCTGTGTTTCTGTGAAATATTTTGAATCACTGAAAAGATTATTCACGTTACATGGAATACCTAGTTCTTTTTTTTTTTTTTCCTCCTTTTTCTTCCTTGCCAATAGATTCGGAAAAAAATGATAGATGGAGAAAGTGGAGAAAAAACATTTGAAACACTGGTCAAGTCCCAAGATGAGGTAAGATAGGAACATAGGCAACTACATTTACAGGAACAAAAAAAACCCAGAAAAATACTGTGAAATGGTAAAAAGAAGTTCATTTTGTAATGTCAATTTGTATCATTTTTCCCGCTAGATTTGCTAGTTTTACTGGCTTACAGTAAAAGAAATTATGTACTTATGAAAAGAAGAATTGTTTTGTTTCTTGGTTTCTTTGGTGCATCATTAATCAGGCAGTTGATGAGGTCTTACACCCGGTTCTCCAGGAAATGGACCCAGCCTACTTCTGTGTATGAATCCCAAAACAACGTACTTAATTTGCTTGCGGAGATGTGTGAGGATGGGTTTGATAGTTTATATTATGGTTGAATGGGAAGAAAGTAGTGAGAAAAATATATAACCTATGCCATAAATGAAGACTATTTGGGATAAACAAATTCATTTTACAGTTATATTATGTACTTGTGCTTTCTGAACAGCTTGTGATGAGTTCTTTATTTTCTTGTCCAAAATGCTCACTTCTGATAAAGATTGCTACTGGTTTCTCTAATAAGACAGACATGTTTCCTAGCAATAAGAAATACTCAAATTTTATATAAATCCTTACACATATACTCTAATTCTTCGGGACCTTAATGAGAAGAAATCATGTCTGGTGTGCCAAAGAAGCAGTTCTGGCCAGAGTATGCCGCGCAGTTACAGTTCAACAACGGCTTTTTGAAACTGTTTTACTCTGAATGTAAAACAGCTTGAAGATAGCTAATGTAATGACTTATTGGAAGAACGTGAAGCGAATATAACATCAAGCAGACACTACACAACCCTTATATCTATAAGCACACCATAACAATACTCAGCAGAATTGCGTGGGACTGTGCAGTTAATTTTTCATGTGTAGTATCAGCTGCCTTCTCCTGTTGATCTCCTGTAACTTTGATATCTCCAATGGCTCTACTGTTTGTACTTAAATGGCAGAATGTTCCAGTGTAAAGTTTCTCCTTCTCACAAGGCGTGTGCTACAGAATCTAATCAAATTAAATTGATAGGAAATCAGGCCTCAGAGTTTAGGGGGTTTATATTCTGTTAAAACCAGCACATTCCTTACTTGTATTCAGTTCAATGTCTAATAGATGGTAGCAGCTTTTAAACTCTGCTGTAAATTTTGGCCAGATTACACCAAGTGACGCCCAGTTCTGAGCAGTTCCTATTACCAGTCCTCTGACTCAAGTCTGCATTGAGGGAAGATTCTTATGTACTTATTCTCATTTTGATACAGAAAAAAAGAACTGTAGTCTTAAGTCTATTTTTGCATTAAACATGATAGAAACTTAGTGTCTTCGTGGGTGAAAATCAGTGGCAATGCACATGTTGTCTTTGCTAGATGAGGTTGAAAATGGACCTGCGTTTTCTGAAACGTCTTGATCGTTCATTCATGCTGTGGCTTCACAATGTCGAGTTCCTGCTCACTTGGTTCCGCAACAGACCTTTGAGAACATACTTAGAATCATAGAATCATAGAATAGTTTGGGTTGGAAGGGACCTTGAAAGGTCATATAGTCCAACCCCCCCTGCAATGAGCAGGGACATCTTCAACTCAATCAGGTTGCTCAGAGCCCTGTCCAGCCTGTCCTGGGATGTTTCCAGGAGTGGAGCATCCACCACCTCTCTGGGCAACATGTTCCAATGTTTCACCACCGTCACTGTAAAAAATTTCTTCTTTATATCTAGTCTGAATCTACCTTCTTTTAGTTTAAAACCATTACCCCTTGTCCTGTCAGTACAGGCCTTGGTAAAAAGTCTGTCCTCATCTTTCTTATAAGCCCCCTTTTAGGTACTGGAAGGGTGCTATGAGGTCTCCCTGGAGCCTTCTCTTCTCCAGGCTGAACAACCCCAACTCTCTCAGCCTTTCCTCACAGGAGAGGGGGCTCCAGCCCTCGGATCATCTTCGTGGCTGTCATCTGGACTTGCCTCAACAGTTCCATGTCTCTCTTGTGCTGAGAACTCCAGAGCTGGACATTTCGTGACCATTCCTCAACCTCTTAGCATCTGCACTAGATTTGACAAAGCATGCTGCTTCTGATAGATAGTGTAATTTAAAAAGAGTGCAAATAAGGACAGGAAACCATGCTCAAGATCTTCACAATTATGCAAATCCATCACAGGCATTTTTATTCCTGAACTAGGGCTGTCATTGAGATGATCAGTGGCTTTACTTGTATGTGTGTCCACCTGTGAGGACACAGATTAAAATCTGTGTATTCAGCTCCCTGCTAACAACATTGTGACTGTGTTGCAGAAAGGTTGCCATGGTAGTTTATTATATTGCAGAGCCCAGGGAACCTGACTTGATGTTAGGCACTGTCTTCCTTCTGATACCCTATTCAGAAAGTGCAGAACCTCATAGACTCTTGTTGAGTACAGAACCTCAGCTTCAGTGGGGGCAGATGAATGTAACTGTAAATGATCTTAGCTGAAAGATGATGATAATGATGATCATGTAATTATGTAGGCAGCAGAGTCAATACTTTTCTACTTTAGTCTCTGTGAGGGAAGTCAACTTAAATCAAGCCTTATACACTGACATTGTCCAGGTGCAAAGCGTGCCCGTAAGTTATGGTCCTTGAACCTGTGGAGTCCCATGATCTCATTAAATGTGCCCACGCTTCTTCTCTGTATCCAACTTCATGCTGCCTTTCACCTCTTCCCATATTCTCCTAAAGTGGAGACCTGTACGAGCAGTCCCCTTGCCTTCTGTCAGGTCTCTCTTCTGTGTTTTCTCACAGCCTCCACATCAGCCCTCCTGAGTAAGGCTTTACGATGCTGCTTTACCATCTACGGGGAAATCCTGCCGTGTGAAAAAAATGTGCCTTTTTCCTGAATGGTTACATTATTGGAGGATGGTGAATGAAAATGGCCTTCCTGGGGCAGGGAGGGTAGACCACATCTGATGTCAGTTCTGCTACCTCACCTGTGTCAGGGCCCGTCCTGTCTAGGAAGGCACCAGCCTGTTCCTCTGTTCTGAAGGGAGACTGGGTCTTTCCTGACCCACTGTTGAAGAGTCCAAAGTCCTGCTGGCATCTGTGTTGGGGATAAGCAGCTCCTGAAGTGAGGGACTCACCAGGACATTTTCAGATTTGTAGTAGTGTTTTGAGTGCCTTTCCAAGCCTATGGCTGAAAAGGGCTCCGTGGAGGTGGTTAGAAAAGGGAGGATTAGAAGGTCACAAAAATACAGTAACACCATTGGAGTTATACATGAAATTGTATTCATGGCAAAGCTGTTGAGATCTCAGGCTGTGCTTCGATTTCTCAGGCTCTGTGATAAAAAAGACCAGAAATGGTTGTTCCTGCAACTGATTGCCCAAAGAGGGAGGGAGGCGAAGCATTTACACATGTGAATGCTGGAGTCAGCTACAGCATTGGGGCCAGGCAGGGAAATGTAACGTCCCTGGGTGCGTGAGAACGTGTCATTTATGCACAGCCCAGACCACAATCTGTATTTGAATAGAATATCCCAAGCCTTTTGATCCCAGATGCTTCCAGTGCCCAATGAAATTAATTTCCCTCACCTTCCCTTGCATCATGGCCCAAGATTTCTTCCTCTGCTTAGACCTCGCTGAGAGAAGAAGGGAGCAGCCAGAGACGGCTGGCAATGGTGACTGCTTCAAACCATTACACCCTCCCAGCTCCAGGCTACTAGAGCCAGAATAAAGCTGCTTCAGACCACAGGCCATGCATGAGCCATGCATCACTTAGGACTTGATAGCTTCGTATATTTTCTTATAAACAAGGGCTGATGTGGTCGGTTGCTCTGAACTGACAGTTGCAGTCTTGAGGCTTAAAATTGATGTCCTTTTTGTTTTGCTTTTTGGTTTAAGTTTGCATTACTTTCCTTTTGTATTGCAGCTGGCCCCAGCAGTGTCTTGGGAGATGACCTCACACTGCAGCAGAGACTGGACTTGTAGCAAGCAAGCGTGGGCGGGGTGTGCTGGAGTCTCCCAGGGCCTCAGGGCCTTTCCAGCTAAGAGAGAAGATGCCATAGGAACAAAAACATTGCCACATTCGGGCAGCCAGGGTGGGCAGTAGTGAAAACTGAAGGGTCACAAAAACTGCAATAACATGTGTAGGTTCTTTGGCAGTGACCAGCTGGGGATGAGATGGTCTCAGACCGCTCAGTAAAGAAGTAGGCAAAGGTAAATGGGAGCTGACATACGAGGATGTGTGACTGCTGGGTTATCTTTGAAGGGAGGTTTCAGTCCATTTGCTTTCAAGCATGTTCACAGTGCAGGTGGCAACAGGATTTAATAAGACCCCAGTTCTTCTGTTCCTTCCCTCCCACCTTGGGCACTGCTTTTCTCTTGCCAGCCCTACGTGTTGTGCAACCCATGGCACTGTGCCTGGTTTGGAGGGACTGCCAGTGCTAGGTTTGAGCGTCTGCTTACTCTTGAGCTGAAGTAGTAGTATAGGCACATTATTAAATGTAAATACACTTGGACAGGAATCTCTTCAGCCGTCTTTTTACCTCTAATACAAAATGTATCAGGGCATTAGACACTGATATATGCATATTTTTTTTCTTTTTCTCCTTCCTTTCTTTTTCTTTCCAAAATGACTATTAAATTATTTACACAGTCAAGCTGTACTGAAAAGGAGCAGCCAGGTAATGAGAAGGTTTCCAATTATAAATGTCAAAAAATAAACCTCTTTTCATAACCACGGTCATTTTCATACTTTTGTTTTACCACAGGGAAAGAAATCACATAGACTTATACCTGTGGTAGCTTTCTCCAATGTTTGTGATGTTGCAGTGCTACAGCTGCACAGTTTTCATTGCTGGCATACTTACAAATCTCTGATTGTTAAATAATAATATGTTGCAGCTGGCATAAACTTGTAGTTTTCAAAGTGAGTAAAATTATGTCAGCCAGGTGCATTAATGATTAAATCTATGGGGAACTATGGGACTGTGTCTATCACATTATTTTTCATACCAAAAGAAAACAAATGGTAAAGCTTATCCTAATGTATTAAATTATTTAAAAATAAACACTTACTTCAATGTTAAACTTTTCACAAACGCAAGACTCTCCTAGTGAGATTAGGAACACATGTAAGTTTAGCATGGTGTGCCTATACAATCAGGATTACCTGGCTGTGCCTGTAGATATGACTCAAATTTAAATGCATTTAGCCAGTGGTGCTGTGACCTGAAAGGACAGGCACTGAGTGTTCGTATTGTTAAAGAGTTACCTACAAAGTCATTTTATAATTGAGATTTTTTCTTTTCATAGTTTAACTGGTCCACAATGGAGATGATAACATCTTTTATCAAATTTCAGTCACATAGAAAAAGATTTGCATAGGCCTGGGTAATGAATTTGAAAGGGAAAATGATTGGTCATGTTCGTCTGGTTTTATTTAAATTTGCATTTTGTTAATGTTCAATAAAAAGGATATAGGTGAATCTTTTGCATAATATGTTTGGAAATTGTTTAAGAAAAGGAATTGCAGCTCAACTCATGCTTTTAGCAAAATAATAAGTAGAATTCTAACATATTTGTACTTGATTTTACACTATATTTCTCAATGGAAGGTCATGCTTGTTGAAGCTCCAGAGTTCTCCAGAGTTAATAATTTATTTTTTCACCAATATCTCTTTATAGAGATACATTGATAAAGGAAACAGAACGTATACATGGACTGCTGTGAATGGCACTGATTACAGGTAGCTCATTTCTATTCTCTGACTTCTTTTGTGTAGTTAAATGTCCTTTTTCTTTATTTGGTTACTATTTTTAGTGTTACATTTTCTATACTAGCTAAGTCAGGACCAGATCGTCTTGTGTCCAGGACTGTAGGATTTTCTGGATTCCTTTACAGCTTGGAATTGTTGGTCTGTCTAAGGACCAGAACCTCAGTCTTTCATCCAACTCTTGAGATTTATCACTAGGGTATTTTCATAAGCAGGAAAAAAGGGGTTTTATGATTGATGTTAAAAATCAAAGTTTTCCTCCTACTTTCTGCGTCGCAGTATACTTTTATTCTTAATTACGCTTTCTTTTAGATTCCTCCTCTTATTTAATCTTTTTTTTTTTTTTGCATTGTCTGTATGTTCTTATTTTAATATGCATATTTAAAAGGAAGATGCTATATTTTGGTGTAAATAAAAAACGTGACATTTTTTGTGCAAATCTTTTTCAGTCACAGTCATTGCTTGTACCATGACTTTGCTAACCTTCATGTCAGATATTAGGAGCAGGAACTGATTGTCTCTGAAATCCATATCTATTTGTGACAAGATTTAACTAATTAGCGTTGATACTGCTTTGTGTGTAAAAATTATATGGTGAATGGCAACAGGAACACATGAAGTAATGGATAAATCACGTCCCCCCTTCAATGCAATATTGGCGTGTATATTATTTCAAACTCATTTGAGCACACAGCTCTGTAATACTGGAAGAAATGTAGAAACTTGACATTATCCAAAACAAGTTAAGGTTTACCAAGTCCCAGAAAAGTTAAACTACTCTAATTCAAAACTAGATGGTACAAATATTAAGTCAAATTTTTACCAGCACAATATTTGTATTGTGGTGAGTTACAGTAGTCCACAGCCAAGCTGGTTGTTATGTTCTGCAGAGGCGTACAGGCAATGAGAATGCCAACGTTAATTTGTATGTAAAACCAAACAAATCAGTTTTAACAAGAGAATAGAAATGTAGGATCTTTTATTCAGTATCCCATTTTTCTGTTGAACTGCCTCTATCTTTATACTCTGTAAGACAAGAAAATTTTTTATCGGACTATGCCATCTAGCAATCAGTAAAGAAATACATGTGATTTATATGACTTCTTAATTCTTACTGAGCTCCCTGGCATGAGATACAGCAATAAATCCATAGAGTCACATTGCAGAAAACCTATTAAACATAAAATTATAGATTTTAATTAACAATTTCTGCTAGCAGTAACTGTTAATGACAGGTAAACTGCTACTGATTTCCCTGGAGGAGAATTGGTAAAAGGCTATCACTAAATATTCAGCAATCTCACTTACATTCTGTTTAAATGGCAAATGTGTCATTAAAGGTCATCTCATTTATGGCTCAACTGTACAACTTTTTTAATGTTAATTTCTGCGGCTTTCTGTTAGAAACCATTGCAGTTCTACAGTGATGAAATCCGAGTGCAAAAATTAAGGATGCAATATGGGAGGTGATGATACCTCTTTGATGATAACTCGTAACTCCTGTCCTTTACATACCTTTTTTAGAACTGAACTCTCCTACACCTATATGAATTTAGTTACAGAAAGAAGCCCTATATTTTTTGAACAAAAATAAGTATATTTTAAAAGAAAATACATTGCAAATGCTTTGTAAATCTTAATGTGTTATTACACAATGATGTTCAAAGGTTTTTGGTGGTGACTGCATGATTCAAGGCAATATTTTGCACCTTGAATGTAATGTGAATTCAAGTATTGCCAGATACATTTCCTAATAAATACCAACGGTTGTATTAGTAAAAGGAGTCTGTCATTATATGATTTGTGCAAATCAGTGCAGTACTACATGCTCATTTTTGCAGTCAATGATCACTTCGACATGTGTTACACTGGGGTGCTAAATGTGTTAGAGGAAGATACAAGAAATCATGCATTTTATTATTTGCAATTATTTGGAAATTCCTTGCTTATCCGTTAAAAAGTGCATTTATGCTCAAAAGCGTAAATAAGAATGAAAATAAACACAGGGAACTTCAGGACTGGCATCAACCTACTAGTGTCTATTCCAAAGTGTGAGGCTGGTATGTCACTCTGTGACTATCTCATCTCATGATGATCCAACTTCCAAACTTGTTAATTGCTTTCGAAACACATAGAAGCTGACACTGGGAAACTGCTGCAAATAACATAATTGCTTTGCTTGTCTCATTTCTATTGCAGTTTGGCATTGGTGTTACCCTCATACAGCTTTTATTATATTAAAGCCAAAATAGAAGAACCAATAACTCAAGCCAGATGTAAGTACTACGAAGGTTCCCTGTTTTGTCTAGTATTGCCAAGTTTCAGATTCACTTTAAAAAGCAGTTTAAAATTCATAAATTTTGTGGAATTCACTGATGTTATCATGATGTACCCAAAATCTGCAGCAATGATTCTAACCCATTGTAACATCCAAGGTACAAGAAATATTCTATAAAGACAGAATATGTGCAGGTACCCCAGTTCACTGACAATCCCTTCCCCCTTGCTCTGTGCCTATAGAATCATTGCTTTGTGTATCCTCTGTTGCTGTCATTTTAAGGGTCTGGATACTATTTTTTTCATTCTGTTAGCTAAATATCATGATATGGACAATAACAGTAAAGCTTTTTTGTAACGGTAGTTACAGTATAATATTTAGCAAATTACCTCTGCTGCCCATTGGAATAGATTAATGTGAAAGCGCTGTTTGGTTTGGCTTGCAGCTAGGTTTTTATTTTGCATTTTACAAATATTTTAGTAGGTGTTTGTAATGTATTTTTGGATTAGACAAATTTCAAGCCATTTACAGATTCTGGAGAAATAATTGGAAATTATACTTGTGAGTATTCAAATGCTTTTCATTTCTTAGGTGTAGCTTAACTGTAATCTAGATAGTAGACAAAATAGAACCCATCATATCCTTTTAACTTTATCCAAGTGTTACGATAAATTTGAACAAATACGCAGTTAAATAGAAAATTAGAAAAGCACTGTGAATCTCTCTGACAGGCATAGATACTGTTAGTTTAGAGAAAACTTGGTTAATACTAAATCACTCTCCTCTACCATCACCTCCTGCATATGAAGTAAAATATGGCAAGGTTTTAATAATCAGTGATTTATTTTGTAACTTTGTCCAATAGACAGTAGTTTAAAATTTAGGTTTTAATAAGTGAATATGGTTCTCTTGATGGATTAGATCATCTGGTTTTGCACTTATGTCAATATAACCTGCAAAACAGACCCTTGAAATAGCCACAGTATATAGAAGGTACTTGAAAAATAATTGAGAAGGACATATTCTTCAGTCTTCAGAGATGTTTGTCTTTTTTCCAGACTACAGCTGTATGTAAATTGAACCTTTGATCTATCTATGCACAATATTTTTATTCAAGGGGCTGTTTGAATAAAATATTGGTTTGTGATCCCTTTTGCTTTACCCTGTTTTTTTCTGTTTCCCTGCTTTCTCTTTCTGATGGATAGTGGCAATCAAAAAGGGCAAGTATATTCTTGTTGCTTAATTTCCTTCTGTTTACTGCAGTTGATATTTGTCACTTATATTTCTATTCCTAATGGATATTCTCCTCTGTATTCCTCATCTCAGGATTTTTTCCATGATCATTGGGTACCATAGCAGTAGAAAGAAAAAAAAAAAGTGTTTTTCTGTTTTCATGCACATTTCGATATGTTGCTAATCTCTAATCCTTCTTTGTCTGGTCCTATCAGTGTTAAGTGACACCAGCTTTTAAAGCCATTGTTTTCAGTAGCATTGGAAGTGATACTTACATGGATGACTTTTTAAAACTTTATTGCAGAAAATCCTAGAAACATTTTCCTTCATGTTCTGACAACTCGGTATCCCAAATATTTCTTTGTATCAAATTACAATTCTAATGAAAACATCTCATATGTTTTCATGTTTTCATGCTAATGAAATGTCTTCTCTAAGTAAGTTGTTAGATACATTATTGCTGCCAGGTGTGTGTTGTATATAATAATCAAATAATTTTTTCCTATACTGTGAAATACTGAGAAGTATATAGTATATTAGTGGGGAAGTGTCTCAAAATAAACATTTCTTTCCAAATTCATGGATGCATGCAAAAGCTAGTCAAATATTTTGAGAAGAAAAGTTATATCAAAAAGTCCAGTTTACTTACTTGGTGTTTACTCTTCATTTTTGTAGATTCAGAAACACTGAAGCTTGATCATTTTGATGAAGCTGGCTATACATTTATAGCACCAAGGTTGGTTAATTTTCCAGTAATAAGTATTATTTCAGCAGTATATAGGCATTTGATCAGATGAATGACATTTTCAAAAGACAGACTTGACCAATGAACTTTCATTTTGGTAAAAAATATTAAGTAAAATAGCAGTTATTAAGTTCGTGTTTTACAAGAGCAATAATTTTTTTCTTGCTGGAGTGTAAATAGCATCTTCAGGCTCTGATTCCTGTTTATGAGAGATGTAAAATCTGATATTGATGTTTTCATGGAAATCTTATACACGTCTGTTCATTTCTTGTGGTTGTGACTTTTAAGATCTTACAACTTTGTACCTTAGCTTCTCATTTGTAAAATAGGTACCATAATGCTTACTTTGAGATGTTTCCCAACTTCAACATAAAGTGTTTCAAAGCTCTCTGTCACTGAAGGATGAATTAATTTTTGATTCATTGAATGTAGAAAGTGATTAAGTCATTGAAAATTGATCTAGTAAGTTCATTATTTCCCTGTTTTTTCATATGAAGTTGTGTAGTTCTTGTTGCCCTTGTAAATGTATGTTTGCAAGGGAAACATGGTATGATAAATAGTTCTTAAAAACTAAGTTCCTTTAAAAATAGTTATGGTAAATAAAGGAAATGTTTACCATCAAGATCAGTTTAGAATTGTTGCATTTCTTATTTATCTTATAAATTTCTTTATCCTTTTAAATTTCAATGAATACATTGATTCGTGTATAAAACGTAATCTTCTCTCTTCAAATGTATTCTCAGCTTAACTGTTTAATTTTTCTGAAGGACTGAAGTTATTGATAATCAATTGTACCAATTAGCAGTTTCCAGCAAGCCCCTAGTCGTTAGGCTGATCTACATGAACAAAGTCTGTTTGATATGGAGCTCTGTTTAAATGTGAATGTTGGTATAGCAAGCCAAATTCTGCCTATGGTCTTTCAGGACCATGGTAAAGTAAGTAAAAGGTAATAAGATAGCTTATTCATATGAAATACTTGAACAGACTCCTTTTTTTTCATAAAATTAATTTAATATAAAAAGCTTATTTAAAAAGAGAGCTACCTACTTTACTGCTGAATGCTCTCTACATTTTAATTAAAGTTAATGCTGCTCACCATCTAATATTTGCCTTCAAAATGCCCAGTGACTTTTATTGTGCTTGCTTGCATTCAGTGAATTGCCCAATGATATATTGCTTTATTTTATTGAGTTATGTAAAGGACAGTAGTTTGCTTTTTCTATGTTTTGCATATGTCAAAACAAAGAGTGTTTATATGCTTATATGTACCCTATTAAAATTGCATTTAAGACTCAGAGGATAGGACCTTATCCCATGAATGTGGCCTTAGTTGAGCATGAAGTGACTATGTTTTAATCAACAGTCCATGTACTTTCCAGTACAGTTTAACCCAGGAGCAGTCTAAATTCACGGGGCATTTTCTTGTTTAGTTAACAGACTCTGTGATCTCCTAATTTCATGGCCTACAGTAGTCCTCAGTGTTTTTTCTGGGAATCTATGCCCTGTTTCATACATGGAGTTTTCTTATAATTCAGATTTAGACAGGCACTTGAATGCTTTATTTCCTGTAGATACCTGAAATATTCAATATGGTCAATATTTGATATTGGCCATGATAGTCAATTGACATAATAGTGCCAGCCCTCTCATTGTAGTTGCACAATCCTGCTTGGACTTTAAAATTGCTGAGCCATATTTGTCTGCTTTAGTAGCAAAGGAAACAAATCTGAGAAGACTGATCTTTTATTGTTTTTCAGAGAATACTGTAATGATGTAAAAAAGTCAGAAAACAACACTGAATTTCTATTAAATTTCAATGAATTTATTGATAGAAATACTCCAAGCAGTCCGTCATGTAAGTATTATTCTCAATTCACTGGAATTATTCCTTAGGAAAACACTTAATCATAAATGACAATTAGTCAAAATGACAGCTTTCATGCCCAAATCATGTGGGTTTGGTTTTTATCTTCACTGATTTTTTTTTTTTTTAGTAGAAGTACATCTAGTGTTGGGATTTTCTACCCAAGGTAGAGACTGTAAAATTGGTTTGTGGTTTTCTGGATTTATTTGAGAAAGTTTGCAGAGCATTATGCATCCAGTGTTTTCCACAATTCCTCTCAGCGTTCTGTTCTAGCAGCAAATAATTATCAGTTCTTTTTAATACACTCCAAATATTTTGAATTTATATTTTTTTCTCTTGAACATATCAGCCAAAGTCTCAAATAGACTTCAAAATCTTGTAATGAAATCTTCAGACTGCTTTCTTGTCAGTTTATAGAACCAAAATAAGTAAAGAAAAGGAACCGAGAACCTAAATAACCAATAACCAGAATAAAAGATGAGGAAGTTCTATTGCTGGTTCACAAACTGGTTAAAGTAATCTCGCTTAGGTTCAAGTTGTTTAAGACCACCGATTCATGTAACTGCTGCAGTGGTGAGCACTGGGCTTTGGGAAAGTATTCACATTTTGAAATTGGGCTTTAAACTCCATAGAGAATAAACAAGGAATTACGCTTTTGAATGACCTATCAGTAATGCATTAAAGTCTTGTTCTCATGAAAAATTCAGTGTTTGGGTTTGTTTGTTTATGCATACAAGTCTGTTTAGCATTGTTAATAATTTATAAACAGTTGGAATACACTTTTTTTTTGTCTTGCATTCCTCGAGTCTTTTTAACGTGTTGCTCTCAGAAATCACTGATCAATTTAGTAAGAACCTCTCTGCTAGACCATGTAACTGAAGGAATGTGCACTTAGATATGAGATCTTCTCACGAAAGGCTATTTTTTTGCGTGTGTGGGTGTTTGTTGTTGTTTTTAATAGAGTGATCTTATTCCTGACTGACTGAAATTTTACTTAAGTCCCTTGACTTAATCTTGGAAATGAAAGCATTCACCTCATATGGTTAGACCAGTTAATAAATGACAGTTCTAGTATAATATTCACTAGTTATATAAGCAAATACTGAGCACACATCTAGTGATATTGTAGTATACACTAGGGCTTAGTAAGTAATTATGTCAAAATATTATCAAATTATTGCTGTATTTCATTTTGGAATCTACAACAAAATTTACTTTTTTCCTTCTTTCTAATAACTAAGTAACTTTAAAAATAATCTCCTGAATAAATAAAGTGTCGACTAAAGGAAACAGTGGCTATGGAAATTATCTCAGCTAAAAATGCTTTTCAAAAGGAATAATTAGTAAAATCCTCAAATTGAAATAATCTAAGTTTAGTGCCTGTTATATTCTGACTCATCCCATCCAACTTTAACCTGTTAGAAGTTAGTCGGAAAGTTAGACAACTACCTCTGTTGTTACTAAGGGGACAGTACAAGCGATTCACCCTATTTGTCTTCAACATCTGCCTTATGCAGGTAAGCAAGTCTTGCTTTGTGGAGGTGCATGCAGTACAAGGGGATCATAAAGAAAGAATGCATCCAGTAAAATATTAGGAGTCTGTATTAGCAGAGATAAATATCACTCTGAGAGACATATTTTGATATTTACATTCAGATAGAACATCAATTTAATTTCTAGGAAAATGTAGATGCAGCAAGGCCCTCCAAATGTTGTCCTTATGTTAATTAGTGAAGTTCTGTCATTACTTCAGCTGAAGAAATATTTTTAAAACAATACCCTAACTTACATTACATACTGTTCTCTGGCGTTGTGGATGTGAATAGGGAAGGTGAGTCTGTGGCATTTGATGTGTTTTAACAGGTTTACCTAGCTAAGCCCTGTAAATATATCTAATGAGAATTAAATCAATGTATTAAGATGATATGAGACAGTGCTTTCTGGTGGTAAATCAGAACTGCTGGCTCTGTGCATAGCATGCTCACACATTCAGGCTTCAGTGGACTTTATGAAAAAGCTTTTTTGCTAAAGCTTACGAAGCTTTTCAGTACCCAAATATATGTCCCTATTGATCTGTTGATCCGTTTTGTGGAAACAGTCTGAATCAGGGCATTTTTTTAAAAAAAAGGTGATACAAGTTTTCTGGAATCTGAGACTTAGGGTGAAGCACAGAGCATGTCATGGCTCTCTATGGAGCAAAACTGAAGAAATCTTGGTGGGTTTTTCCCTAGCAAGGCTGAGCAGCTGGGGTTTGGCAGAATCTAGACCTGCAGGTTCCAGTCATGGAACAACTAACACTGATTTACTGTGTGACATTGAAGACCAAGAGCCAGATTTTCCCTGTACATTATTCTGCTCCAATTTAGCCCTGATTTATTTTCCATAGTACCAAAATCTGTATTAAAGTATGTGCTTCCTTCTGTTGACCATTCCTAGAACTTTCTCTTGTAAAGTAGTACTGGAAAAGATGCTTGAGAAGCACTGACTTCAAACTGTCTTTTCAAAAATATTTAAAAATGATATATCTGTCTAAGGTACTAATTCAAAATTAGTTTATTTCCCTATATGCATTTTCAGATGGCACATAGGTTTTTGTGAGAGGCTAGGACTTAACTGATTTAAATATATTTATATTGTCTTTGAATTATCTCCATTTTGTAGTATGTAAGAGTAAACATAACTAAGAATTAAGTGGTTTATCATTGTATCACCTGAGATAAAAGGTGTTTGGACGAAAACATGCTTTTAAAAAAGGTTAATTTCCAAATTTAACGTAGGGACTTTGCAAAGCTGGGACCTGTACCCTCGTCACCTTGTTTATCCCTAGGACATATAGTTTTTTAGGATACAATGAAGGATAAGTTTTAAGTGAAGTCCACAGTGCGAGAGCAATCTATTTAACAGTAAATACTTGACATAATTTGAAGTTAGACAGTATGTCTAATAGAAATAGCCCAATTTTTGTGGCTGTAGCAAGTTGACAACACAGAATTTCATTTTAGCTGTTTAAAGAATCTCTATGTCATATGGTTTCAGATGAATGTCTTAACTCTTTTGATAGGTAATACTGACATGGTCATTAGAGTTTTGCTGGATGCAGGATTTACAAATGAACTTGCCCAAAATTATTGGAGTAAACTGTCTCTGTAAGTATTCTTTTTGTTGATTGTGATTTTTTTTAATGTATTTCAAAGTTTGATAATAAAATAATATACATGTGTTGTGTATACAGATATACAGTTAATATTTATACAGGATAGGTATTTCATTCACAGTTATGCACTTAAATGGTGACTATTGACATAAGAACTTGTGAGAACTTTAGTCAGTTTTCATTTTAAATCTTATTTTTGTTTACAGAGATGGAGTTGTTGCACAATTTGTTGTCACAGATGGTGGAATTACTAGAGTGTTCCCAAAAAGGTAACGATTATTATAAAATAGAATAATAAAATAATTTTGAAACCTGAAAGGGTGGAGTGTTAAATAATGGATTTATTGAATGAAAACCAACTTCTCTTACAGTCTAATCTGTACTGATAACTATGAACTGAATGCAATGTCTTGTTTTTCTTTGATTTTACTTATGTCATTGCTTGAAAGTGAGCTGTAACATTATTTCCATAACAGGTCCTTGTATTCTGAGTTTCTGATCAATGTAGAGTAGCAACAAAAGAAGTGCCCTTGTAGTAGTAGTTGGGCTGTGCTAATCCCTAATTACTCCTAAGCACTCCTTTGTTTGGCAGGCTGGAAGGCTGCAAATGCTGTAAAGCAGTAGGTGATTTTTAAATTATTTTTTTATTAATAAGAACAGACCAAATGATCCAGGAACTTCAAGAGAGAAAAATGTACCATTACCTGGGGGCAAAAAGGGAATGTGAAAGTGGTCATATAATAAACTAGACACCCCCATCGGTTACTGGGGGTAATTGTGAAAACATTAAAAAAAAAAAACCCAACCTGTAGCACAGCTTTAATGGGACTCTAACTGTCTTTTTTTTGATAACTATTTTTTGTGATTAGGGCAGGAGAAGATTGGTTGGAAAATGCTGAAACTTATGAAGTCAGCTTCTATAAACGGAGTTTAGATAATGACAACTATATTTTCACAGCTCCATACTACAACAGTAAGTCATCACTGTTTTGAAATGTCAGAGATAGCTAGTCCAATGTAAGTGTACTTGTGGAAGTTTTCCATACTAGTTGACATCACTAACAAAGGGTGCAAGTGGGACAATTCATAAAGAAAAAATCTTGGGACGTCACTCATGATTAAGGAAAGGGTAGCTAGGAGGGCACTAAAGAAAGGACATCATAATTTGTCATTGGCTCTGGTGGCCCTGTATGCTCAGAATTAACAAAGCTGAAAGCATACATTGTACTGGTGTTCATTTATTATACTGAAACACTGTTTTACAGAGGTGCTTTGGCAGAATTATTTTTAAAGAAAGTGAAGGAAAATTATACTTGGGGACAATAACACTACCTAAAAAAGCATGATTTGGGCTGAATTCTGAATACTTCCTCAGCACCAATCGTAACCTAGGGGAGCAGGTATAAGGGTCCGGAGTCCACAACTCTGCCTGCTGCACTGCTACTTAATTTAAACTTTGCTTTTAAATTCTATTTCAAATTGCTGTTATTCGCCAAACCCAGTTTGTCTGAGATACTGTGATATTTAAAACCTATGTATGCACAATAGTAAGTGCCCATTACTGATGTGAGCAACATTAACGTTGCCAAGTTTGTCTAAAAGCAGATGCTACTACAAATGACACTCTTCTCTTAAACATATGGGATCTTTTATTGCTGTTATTTCATACTTATTTATTGCATCTTTTCTCAATAAAATATTGAGAAGGTAATTAACTAAATTCCATGAAGCCTTTGTTGTTCCTCAGAGAGCTAAAAGCTCCTAAAAGGAATGTACTTTTAACTTGCTTTTTCATACTAAGCAGTGTTGAAAACAGGCTGAAGTCCATCAGAGAAGTAATTGTTAGTTAGTGAGTGGTGTCAGTATACCCTGCATTGAAAAATACACAGACGACGGCAGGATAAAATCTTTGGCTCTGATCCTGGTTTTAACAGAGCTGCTCACATGTGTAAAGCTATTCATGGCTCTGTTTGCAGAAAAAAAAAAAAAAAAGGCTACAGTAACTTTATGAAGCAGTGAAACCCTGTACAAAAAGTGAATGAAGAAAAGTAAACAAAAGTATTCCTCTTAGTCATCCAGATGTTAGTGATCTGAGCTATTACAGGTGATAAATGTATAGTACAACTGGGTCAGTGCTTTTGAATAAAGATCTTTTTGAATCATTCTGGGTGTTTATCTTTTTGAATCATTTTGGGTATTTGAATAAATATTGATTTCAGTTTCAAAGAGGCTTTTATATCACCGTAACGTTTTTTGTTGTTGTTTTCCCTTCAATGCTCTCAGAAAGTGGTGCCAATAGCTATGAAACAGGTATTATGGTAAGCAAGGCTGTGGAAATAACAATTAATGGGAAGCATCTGAAACCAGCAGGTAAGATAGAGTGGTACCGAAACTCGAAATACATTTATTATTGGGTTGTTGCTCAACAGTTAATTAGAAATTTAATTGAGATTTCAAAGGAACTTCACTTTATATAACATTCTTTTCTCTGAGACTGTTTTCATCTTGCTAGAGGAAATCAAACTAAAGATCTTGTTGTGTTTGAGTAAGAGTGCTTAATTTATTAGTCTCATGAAGGATGTTGATGATCACACAACTGAGCAAAACTCATATTTTATCCTTTTCCAGTTTAATAATTAAGATGTTATTATAATTTTTCCCTTTTTTTTAGAATTCTACAGTTACCTTTTTTTTTCCATTTTACTAAAAAAGACTTTCATGTATTTCTTGTTAGTTGTTGGAATAAAAATTGATGCAACCAGCTGGATGGAAAATTTCACAAAAACCACAATCAAGAGCCTGGTAAGCAATTGACCAAGTCTTTTTTGAACTTTATTTGCATTTCTCAAAGCTTCAGATGCAAATAGGTCTAACAGCTCTTTGTGCCAGAGTCACACGGATGCGTTGTTGCCAAGTAGTTGTGGTATTTAAATCATCCAAGTGCACAAAATTAATCTATGTTGAAATAGGCTGTATTTTGTACGTGTCTTGCTTTCATAATTGTAGAACATGGATAAAGAGAAAGAAAAATCACGTATTCCAGCCAGTAGACTCCCTACTAAGATTATGCTGTAGCAGAGAATAAAATCTGCAAAAGAATTGGTGAATCTGTTTTTATTTAATTTGGAGGATGCGTTAAGCAGTGAACAGTAAGGATTAATATTGCAACCAACATCAGAGCATTAAGAACTTAATGAAGTAAGTGCTTAATCCTTTAATTCTTTACGTCTAATGCTTAGGTAGGTGTAAATGGGAAGGAGGAAAGGCTAAATGGAAAAAAAAACTAAGGAATTACTAGTACATTGGGAAAGGAGAGGCACAAAATGAAGACATTTATGGAACAACTGGATGAGACAGTGTTGCTTGATTGGTTGCATATTAAGGGAATGGCTAACAGTGACTGGCTGTTGTAGGTATTAGAGCTGTAGTTCAATGGGTAGGCAAATGTATTGCCTAAATGTCGGAACAGTTAAGGACAAAAATATATCACTGAAAAAAGAGAAAGAAAGAGGAATTACTCAGAATTAATTTGAGATGAATGACTGCAACATTATCTGATAGTTGTTTTGTTCAGGACATAATGCAAGGAGACAGTTATGTGCGTATGTATACACATGCTGCAATAAAAAAGAGAAAAACATGTTAGTAGTCAAAACCATAAAAGCTAACTGGAGATGGTGGGCTTCCTTTATCACATGAGATTCCCATGCTTTGAGGTTGGTGAAGCTTTTCATGGTCAAAAAAGATATCTGGCAGCATATTTTCTAGGCTTTCTTTCCATACCCCAAACACATGGAAGTGTACATGTTCTTTCTCTTTTGCTTTATACTCACAACACTGACATCCTGACAAGTCCTCCAAACTATTTCTCTCTAATATATTGAGCATACTTTAAAAGCGAGATGTATCAGAGACTTTATGAAAGACAGTAGAGATTGTGCTGTTGATAATTACTGAATACAGATTGTTCACAGAGATATTTGTGATAAAATGACACACACAAAATTAGTTTAATATATGGGTACTGAAAATCAAATCGCTTGTTCTTGTCTTGGTTGATTAATATCACTGCAAAATACAGTTTCTTTTGAAACATTTTTGTGAAGATTACTGTTCTGTTTTTTTAGTGCAACAGTGAGATCTGTGGCTGTGAGAGAAACAGTATGGTAAGAATATGTTCAGTTTATGAATATCTGGCAGATTATGAAAATTCTCTCATTCTCTCTAGATGTATCTAAGACAACAAATCTATCATTATTATTTGAGGGTTAATTTTACAGAAAACAGGACTTAATCATTTGTGTCTTGAGAAAGAGATGAGGAGGGGAGGGGTGAAAGAGGGTATAAAAGTCAGGTGAAGTGGTTGTTGCAAGAATCATTGCAGTGAGGTTATGAGAACTAGAGGGAAGAAAAAATAGAGCAATAGAGAATGATGTGAAGAAAAATGTGAGAAAAATATAACAGTAGTTTTCAAAGCAAATCCTGAGGAAAGGGAATAATTTAAAAAAAAAATCTGAGATGAACACTAGAAGTACCTTAGAGAAGGGTAAATGCAAACTGAAAAGCACCAGAGTACGTGACGTGCCCTTCAATAGTCATTAGTCATCCTCTCCTCTATTCCCAGCCCATTCAGGATTTGGGGATCTCATAGCTCTGCTAGCACTCAGGAGAGCGCAGCTCCAGGGGCTATCACAGTATCAGATTCTGCCATGTGCTTAAAAGCTTTCTCTGCTCAGGTCTTCTGAGAGTTCTTTTGTGGAGTGTGAAGATCATTAAATGCAAAAGTTACAGCGAAAAGGGTCCTCTGGGAGGTTATCTATTTGGACTCACTGCTATCTCTCCAATCTCTGACTGCAAGGATCTTTTACAAAATGCAAAGCATAGGGAACCAGTGGGCTTCCCATTCCTGCACCTGACACCTGGAAGAAACCCACTACAGTCCTTGACAAGTGAAAATAATCATGACTAGCAAACTAAGAGTCTGCCTTCAAGAATTTTACCATAAAAAGCTGCAAACGGACAAGGACTTTAAGCATGGCTGAAGCACATAAGAAGTTGTAGTCCCTTATTATGAGTTGAGATTTAATTATAATCAGATTTAATAAGGATATAGCACTCTTAGAGCTAACAAAGTATTGAGCAAATAAGAATTTACAAAACAACTTTTATGAAATTAAGCCACAAATAAGCCTTTGATCTGCACAAACTTTTATAATACTGATAATGCTACTTATTCTAGCTTAATATTGGCCCTTGGCTATGGGGCTGTGATTTAGCCTGAGTCACATAGATTTGAAGATACTTCTGAAGTGTTGAATAAAAAATAATTTTTTACTGAGTGTTCTCTTGACAAATCCTTCCTGCAAAACACATTTTACTTTCTTGCAATAGCATGTGGACTGTGTTATCCTTGACGATGGTGGATTTCTTTTGATGTCAAATCGGGATGAATACACACAACAGGTATGTATACTTTTAAGGACAGAACATGAAAAACAATAGGAAGAAGTTTTAGGAGAATAAACAGCATTTCACTCTCAACTCACCGGAAGCATAACATTTCTGAATCACAGAAATTTAGCTGTATCAGAAATTCCAGTTATTTTGTTAGTCTTTTTCACAGTCTTATTTATGGTTCAAGATGCCCTGCTTCTACCAAGTTGTATTCTTTGTACTCTACCCTTAGTAGGCTGCTGATGGACCTATGATGGTGAAGGCAAGTAGTATGGCATCCACACGCTTTCTTTCTCATATTCCTCTTGCTTTTCACCAAGCAGGGTAGTCTCATTGATAGTGCATTTAACAATTACTGTCTAACTGGAGTTCTCCAACCAGGTGTTTGAGACAGAGATAGTCAAAGAAAGAAATAAATACGTAAGCAGCATAACCGGATGAGTTGTGTAGAGGGAAGAAATAGTGGGGGGGAAAGATCAGAACTGTTCACTTTTTTATGAGAAAAATACTTGGAAATGCTTTAACTTACCTCTGTATATTCCTCCTCATCAGATTGGAAGATTCTTTGGTGAAATTGATCCTGGCCTGATGCGAAACCTGATTAACATGTCCCTGTATGCCTTTAACAAGTCGTATGACTATCAATCAGTCTGCGATCCTGAAGAAGAACCAAAGCAAGGAGCTGGACTTCGTTCTGCTTATGTGGTCAGTAGTCCCTTTTACAGTGACTGACATTCCCTTAAAAGTCTGCGGGTGTTTATACAAATAACATAATCTCTGTTGTTTTTTTCCCAGCCTACAATAACAGACATTTTGCATCTAGGATGGTGGGCTTCGGCAGCTGCCTGGTAAGTACAAGTGTGTAAGAAATCTGTATGTCCAAACTAGAATTATTCAGTGGGTTGAAATTCTATTAGTCTTTCTTTTTCCCTCCATAAAACTGCTCTGAACCCTTTGTTTCTGCAGCTTCTCATGGCAGAAATTCTTAGCTATGTCTCCAAACTCCTTGGAAAATTCAATGTTCTGTCCAGTTGAAATCAAAACTACTTTTGCCAGGTTTTGTGATTCTGTTTTCTGACTCTACAAAATCAGATTCCAGAAGCACAGTTGGAATTAATGGTCTAAATCTGATTGGCAGGTGGGAAGGTTCAGAGGAATTACTACATTTAGAATTATTGACCACTTGGTTCCCTATTTCAGAATATTGTCTTTTCCTTTTTCTAGCAAGAAGTCTTAAGAAAATCTATGTTTGCTTTTCAGTGAATCATTTTACAAAACCACATGGATCATAGAATCATAGAAGTTTGGATTGGAAGGGACCGTTAAAGGTCATCTAGTACAACCTTCCCTGCCATGAGCAGGGACATCTTCAACTAGATCAGGTTGCTCAGAGCCCTGTGCAACCTGACCTTGAGTGTTTCAAAGGATGGGGCATCTACCACCTCTCTGGGCAACCTGTTCCAATGTTTCACCACTCTTATCATAAAAATTTTCTTCCTTATATTGTCTGAATCTATCCTCTTTTAGTTTAAAACCATTACCTCTTGCCTGTTGCTACAGGCCCTGCTAAAATGTCTGTCCTCATCTTCCTTATAAGCCCCATTTAAGTACTGAAAGGCTGCAATAAGGTCTCCCTGGAACCTTCTCTTCTCCAGGTTGAACAACCCCAACTCTCTCAGCTCATCTTCATAGGAGAGGTGCTCCAGCCCTCTAATCATCTTTGTAGCCCTCCTCTGGACCCACTCCAACAAGTCCATGTCACTCTTGTGCTGAGGGCTCCAGAGCTGGATGCAGTACTGCAGGTGTGGTCTCACCAGAGTGGAGTAGAGGGGGAGAATCCCCTCCCTCAACCTGCTGGCCACACTTCTTTTGATGTAGCTCAGGATACAGTTGGCCTTCTGAGCTGCAAGCGCACATGTCAGCTCATGTCCAGCTTTTCATCCAC